TTCCAAGTACCGTGAAGAAGGAGGGAGGGAGGAAGGGAGAGGCATTAGCCTTTACTGCATGGGCAATTCTGATTGTGTTCCACCACATGAGCCTGAGGAGGGAAGATGGGAGTTCCTGGGGCCTGTGTGCCCCTCGGAGGTGGGGGACTCCTCTTTGGGCCAAATGTGATTCTAGTGTTTAAAGACACATATGGCCTGTACAACCTGGTCACCACATAGAAGCTTGCCACTTCACTGGTGTTTGGCTGTGAAAACCACGAGTCAGTTCAAAGCTGGGAGTAAGCCAGCTGGGCTGGACATTTTGAGATACAGTTTTTCATGTGGTGCCTTTCAGGGGCGAACATGGCATGACACCAGTCTGTCTCCCAGCTCCCCTCCTGCCAATCTCCTTCCAGGAATAATGGTGCCCTGCTCGCCTCCCAACCCCTCCTTCTTCCCGGCTGTACCCTCACATCATCCCCAACTAAAATGCTTGTGCTTGGCTGGGCCCTTCCTTTGGTGATTTGTCATTTACCCCTTGAGATGAATCTTCATGTCATATTTCACAGAACTTATTTAAACACTGCTATTAACTTCACCTGTTGACCTCTAACCAGGTAACCCGCTGCATCTGTCTAAATGTTTTGTAAGTTTATCACACAGAACAGCTGTTGAGAGCAGAGGTTCTAATATAGAATCTTGATCCTCTATCTGCTGACCCTGGACAGATCACCATGACTAAAGAAGAGAACTCAAAAATCCATCTCAGTTCCCAAGTGACCCTTGAGACAACTGGGAGAGGGAACTCACAAATGCTGACGGGAGGAAGAGCACCCCAAGCTCGTAGGAGCGGATCATCAGCTGGGCGCCGTTCTTCTCCAGTGCTCCCCAAGCGGCTTTGGACAGGTTGGCGCTGCAGAGACAAGGACACAGAGAGGCCTGGCTCAGTGAAGCATCTCTGTGCAGGTCAGACTCACAGAAAAACAGCTGCAATCATGCTGATTCAGTTTCTAGCGGAGCTGTGGCGTTTTAAATCCTGCTATAATCCTCTGGATTTATCTAACTGGTAATTGGGGACAATTTTATGTTCATCTGCATTTTCCGTTGAGGGTAACTATTAAAATAATTACTTTTCCTATTTCTTTATTTTCCTTCAAATCCTTTTCCTTTTCGTAACTTTGGTATAGTCAAGACTTCCCCTTTTGTTGTATAGAAAAAGAATTTAAGAAAAAACTATGTTAACGTTACTTTAAACAGAAGCATCTTAGGCTTCATGCTTGCTTTCTCTGCCCCTCCTTTTTATTTTTTTGGCCAGGTAGTGCTAATTTCTATGTTCGTTCTAAAGAAAGCAGCTCTGAGGGCACTAGATTTAATTATACTCATATCCAAAAAGAAAAGGTGCATTAGAACTATGCTTTATAGGGACAAAGAGTTGTAGATCTGGCTAAAAAAATCAGAGTGCAGCAGGAAGGGGGAGACCCGGAACTGATCATGCAGAAGGTGCCAAGAGGTATGTCAGTTCTCACTGACGTGGACACTAAAAGTGCCAACTTCTGAGGAGCAGGCAGTAGAATGGCTTCCTGGCCTCTTGGCTAAGATCAACTATAGAAATTGAAAGTGGAACCACAGTCACTAGGAGGGAGGGGCTTGGAAGGAGAGAGGGAGGGGCTTGGAAGGAGAGAGGGAGGGACTTGGAAGGAGAGAGGGAGGGGCTTGGAAGGAGAGAGGGAGGCTGGATACTGGCCACCAAAACAAGCATTTTGCGGCACAGCAGAGAGAGTACAGTTTGTAAAAAGTTATTCTGCATTTTATAAAGAATCAGGAAAGAGGGTTTGAAGGTTTCTAATACAAAGAAATGGCAAAAGGTTTAAAGAGATGAAAGCTCTACTTACTGATCTGTTCATTAGAACATATTATATACGTGAATTATCACACTGAACCCCCTAAATATGCACAACTTAAAAAAAAATGGAAAATAAAAGAAAGTACACATCAATATGCTCTGGAATGGAGACAATGAAGCTCTGAGGCATTGTGTTAGATTTCTTTCCTGCAAATGTGATAGCAAGATCTCATCTGCTCTTAACTAACATAAACCTACAAAATACCTTCTTTTTTTTTTTTTCCAATTAGGCTCATCTGAACTCACTATTACTTTCAAAATGAACACTAAACCTCAGCTACTCAGAACCTTTAAAGCAAGGCTTTGTGGATAACTGGGCATTTTGAGAGTCCTTCACTAGAGCACTGACCACCTTTCTGGTGATATGCTGGAATAGGAGATATCAAGTCATGGGAGAAGAATGATCTAAGGGATGTAGTGGAACAGAGAGGGGGAGATGAGGACATTAGAGCTAAGGACAACCCTTGAAACCATTAAGCTCACTTAATAAAATAAAATAAATAAAATTCAGAATCCACTGTCCACAGAATCCACTTTGCACATTTACAAAATATTTCTGTCTTCTTAACTGGACCACAACAAGGATAGGAAACATATTTGATGCATAAGGATGCACAAATGTGAATGTCACTGTCTATGGGATGTCCAAAGGGACAGAAAGTGGGATGCTTATGGCAAGTGGGATTATGACTTTAGGAAAGATGTTTTCTTTAAAAATCTAAGAACTGGGCAGTGGTGTGCACCTGCAATCCCAGCCACTCAGGAGGCCTGGGTAACACAGTGAGACCCTTCCTCAAAAAGAAACAAACAAAAGCTAAAAACAAAGTTCAGAAGACCTGCTTTTGGGTCAAAGGTGACCTGGACCATGACAAAAGCCTAATGGCAAAACT